CAGAATAAATGCTGTGTCATAAACACATTTTTGATTTTTGGCTGTTTAATAGCATGTAGAAGGACTGAATGTTTGGCACCAAAGAGACATAAAAGTTAAGTTAAAATCGTGAATGACAAACATCCTCAGCCAATAAGACACCTTCTGAATGATCCAACAGTTTAACACGTCCACAGAGCCCCGCTGAGTCTCGGTAAATCTAAAAATCAAATTCAAAATACAGTAACAGCTTGATTTTCAGGGGCAGGAGGACATTTTCTGATCAGCGGGGTGATACACAAAAAAGACTCTCTTTGATGGACACAGTTTGATAGAGCATGAAACTTTCATAGGCATGAAGACCGTCTCAGATGAAAAGATTTGCCTCAGTCTGGTCCTAATCCATGTGTGCGTTTCAGCTCCTTTCACTGGCTTTTGGCATGCATCTCTTCATGCGATTAATTTCTTTTCAGCTCATCATTCTTGTCCTTTAAGTCTTTCAGTGGAACTTTTGTGTGCGTGCTGACAATGCAGTGTAATCATTTAAAACAAACAAATGGGCAGAGCAGAACGAGGAGTTTATACTATGACTCAGCCACTACTACACTAGAAAGCATGAGTTTCCATGTGCCACGACCTGCACAGATAGAGTTACAGTCAGACAACACCCATTGGCTGAAAGTAGGTCAAGTTTAGATTCACGTCATTCTTAGCTGTGGCACTACAGCCGATTGTTCCCTGGTTGCTCGGACTTACAGCAGCTCCGAGAGGCTCATTTTGGCATGTTTGGGAGGCATACAGTATGCAAAGGAAGAAGCCACAGGCTTTCTGACATCCCAGTTGGAGAGTTTCTGCTCAGATATGAACATATGCCATCTGAGAGGAGAAACTGTACCAGTCGGGGATCTAATCTGTGTCACTGTCACACAATGAAGCTGCTTTATTCATCAAAATTGGGACGCCGGTCTGACTTTGGGAACATATTTGACAGGAAATGACACAAAAAAAACATACTTACATAAAACTATTAAAGGATTTAATACACTCATTTGTTGGTTTCTGTTTGGTTCCAGTATTCACATTCAAACTGGTTTTGGTCTGAGTGAAAGCTTGAATACATTTAGGTTGAAAAACAAACCACCCAGACCAACAGAGAGTTGCTGGTGGGTCCACTTTTACTGGTGGTCTAATAAATGTGTTTTCGGGGAAACTTGACCACAGTGATAACTTCTGAAATGCTTTTGGTTGGGTTGAAAAAAAACAATGGAAAAACTAACTTAGATTTGACATGTAAACGCAGCTGTACTGAGAAGGTGCAGTCTGGTAATGAGCCTGTCCATCACAGATTTTATAGGTTGACATACCTGCTTTAAATACCTTGCGGCCGCAGCATATGCAAAAAATTACATGGGAGCAGCTGAAACATGAAAAGGTTTAAGTAATAGGCTGCAGCTTCAGTTTACAGCTGACAGTATATTTGATTGATGCAACTTCGTGAGCATACATAAAACATTGAATCAATCTGTTGTCATGTCATAAAATCAGCTGTAAATCTTCCATAAACCTGGCTGATTCTACCACTTCTTGAACAATTTGTCACAACTGAGTCACATTTAAGCATCCCTTTTGACAAGGAACTGTTCCCCAGACAGAACATTTGGTATATCATGGCTGGTTTTACCTGCTGGGAAGCTCCTGGAGCCAGAAGGAACTGTGAGCCCTTGTGACCAACCTCCTCATTTCCAGCCCCCACACTGTGTTGCTGCCATTATCAAATTTAAAATAAAAAAAAAGAGATAAATTAGGAACCCTTCGATTATAAATATTTTACATTTGAACACACCTCAAGGTTAAGATCCTATCAAAGGCAACACTTTGTTCTCTTATTAAAGCTGCTTTTCATATCCGTTTTTGTTGTTCTTTGGTGGTGTATCAAATCAAATCACAAGCTTAAACTGAGACTGTTGTGGAGACCGGAGCCTTGTGGCCTTTGTTTGCTTTGCTGATAGTCTGGCCTAGTTTTATGCAATAACTCCTGTAACAATTGCTCTCATGTGGAATCTTTTTTTTGTGGTGATGGTTGAATGTCATGTATGGAAACAAGCAGTATTCTTCTTCAAAATTTAGGAATGAAAATACTTCCTGGAATTTGGATGACTTTTTGAAAGCACTGCCACATTTAATGAGTTAAAGAGGTCATTCATGCAGCTATCTTATGAATCATATCTAATCTTTCATGCCGTTTTAATTTCATGGTACTGTTTGGTTTTGAGTAAACATAATTAATATACAGTGTTTCTTTTTTGTTATCTTTTTGGTTTGGTTCTAAGAACTTTATTCATCCCAGTAGAGGGGTCTATTAAATTATCAATACATCCATACTAACGTAAAATAAAAATCTGACTATTGACGCAGATATACAATAAAGAATGATGCAAATTACAAATATATTCTTTTTTTATTCCATGCTAAATTATTTTATATATTTCATCACCTTTTAGAGGGATGTGTAAGTTTGAGCAGCATGTTACATTTCAGACTAATGTTTAACAAGCAAAACTAATAAAATACATTAAGAAAGAATAAATCAGTTATTTCTAACAATATGATGTCACAAGTTTAATAAAACTCAAGATGTTAACAGTTTTAATGATTTTCCCCTCTACATTTCTGAACATTCATTAACATAAGTCAAATAATCTACATATTTTACAACGAAATCAAATAGTAAGGAAAAATGTTTTTAAAAAATTAAATAGACTCCAACTGCTAAGGTTGGCTGTAATTTGGGTTTTCCTATGCAACACAAGATTGTATAACAAAATTACAGATGTCATCCCTTTTATGCAACTCACAAAAAGGACTAATCCTTTAGTATATTTCTCTTTTTATTTCTGGTGATCCTTCAAAGGGACCTTGAACTGTAGCATAAAATTACACATTGTCAAAGGCATTGATTTGGGTCGACCTCACTATTTAGAAAACATGCATTTGTAGCCTTTAATGAAAAAAAAACCCAAACGTGAAAAGGTCCCACACTGCCTCAGTTTTGTGGTTTACATTACATAAATTCAAACATTTCCACTCTGGATTGATGCAGAACAAGGGACAAATTGGTACCTAAACATTGACCAGAATGCAGAAAATTAAGCGTTTGATGCCCAAAATTTCCAGGGAGGACACTCAGACTCCTATTGTACATGTTCCCCTGATGCTTAAATGAAATCTACACCCATAAAAACATCACAGTAACAATCACTGATGTCCCAGTGTTTTATATCACAGGGGACATTTAACACCATAATGACTACTTTTATCTTTGATACTTTAAGTACATTTTTATGTAAGTTCTCTTAATCATCTTTATTCAAACAGGAACAAAACAAGTGGTTTCTTATTGGAGACAATCGAGGAACTATTCAAAAAATAAAATCTGTTGATGTAAGGGCTTTTATGGAGAGTTTCAAAAGTGAAATTTAATAACATGAATAAAACAAATGTCATAAATAGCTGAAGTGTGTGATTTTAGCCAATTTTAGGTCATACACTCCAGTCCCACTTCATAACGAGCAAACTGCTGTAGATTCACAAAAATCCGTTCTATTTTCTAAAAGTTAATAATGAATTGACATCTATTCTCTCAGATATCATCCTCAGATCCTCACTGACTTTGTGCCACAAACCAATATCATATAGCAGTTTCTTCCTGGAAGATGAAAAGGACTGAGCCAAGATCACTTTTGCTCAAAATTAACAAACAAGGGCTGCAGTAAAATTAATATTTGATTCCTTTTTCTTAAGAAATGTCAAAATGTTGCAAAAATGCTCAAACTTTTGAATTTAGAGTGATTTCTCAACATTGCTGCTTTTATACTCTGAGATACAAAAATCTTCAGTTTGTTGAGCAAAAATAAATAAATAAATCAAATGTATATTAATTAATCACATCACTTTTTGAAATAAGTATTCAAAAATCTCTCATAACATGTGCAAAAAACAAACAAAAAACCCTGATAGTCAATGTTTAATTAGTCCAGCTGTTTTTGCAAAGCACATCTGTGCTTTTACGGAGTGGTTTAAATGTTTGATTAAATAGCTAGAATAAATAATAAATTGCTCATTAAACAAAAAATAAATAAAAATCACAAATACTGAGTGGAAAATGCAGCTCAAACAGAACAAACACCAAACACCATGCATAATGACTAAATAACTGTAAATGGACAAAAAGTTGCTCTATTTTCTGACAGTTAATCATAAATTAATGTCTGTTCCTCTAACTCTAATCAGTCATCCTAATAGGGATTCGAGAAAGAAACAGCCTGAGCCAAAATGACACTGACTTCACTAAACAATAAATAAATAAATAAATAAAATGCACACTAAAAACTTTCACAAACACAAATCAGAAATTTCTATTTTTTTAATCATATGCTTATTTTTATTATTGCCGTTTTTGTTTGTTTTGTTTTTGTCACCGCGTGCATTGTTTGCCATAGACATACAGTCGTCCTCAAATTTATTCACACCCTGCCATTAAAGAAGGAAATAAACCGCTGTCACTGAAATAAGTTGAAACTGACAAAAGTGATCACAAATAAAAATTTATGAAAATCATGACATTGCTTTTGAATTGTGATTCAAAAACAAACAAACAAAAAAACAAGCATAATGGGATGCTTAAACTAGTATTTTGTTGAACAACTGTTTGAGTCAATCTCTGCAATCAAGTGCTTTCTGTAACTCTCAATCAGACTGTTGACAGGTGTTTAGATTTTCTCTCATCAGCAAAATGCTCTAATTTGTCTGGGACAGTTTTTTTTTGTTTTTGTTTTTTTTGGTGTTTGTTTTTTCTTTTCAACCACAATTCAAAAGGAATATCTTATTTCACTGAAATATAATTCAGCTTTTTTAAAATTTATTTATTACTTTTTTTAGTTAGTTGAGTGACTATTGTGAATGTTGCCTTTTCTTTAATGGAAAGGTATGAATACATTTGAGGACGACCGTATACAATCGCAATGTTTCCAAGTGTCTGTGAACGCAGCACCACCACTGGAGCGGAGTTGTTTTTCTCCCCACGCTCCGCGAACGCGCCGCGGTCTCCGCCCTCCCGGTGCTTTGACGTCAGCGGCGTCCGTCTCCGCACATGGATGGAGGAGTGCAGCGGCTCCCTCCGCCCTCCGCCTCCTCTCCTCCAGCTATTTGCCAGCCAGCCTCGACGACAGACAGCCAGCCGCTCGCCGTCCTGCTGCTGCGCGGAGCCTCGTCTTCTCCCCTCCGAGCCCCCCGGCGTCGTCTTGACACCTGCGCGGACTTCCACGGGCCGGATAGCGAGTTCGGTCGCGTCTTTTTTTTTTTTTTTTTAATTGCAGGGGGGGGGAATTTAAGTCTTTGTGAGCTTTGTTCTCCAATTGCCCTTCAAGACATATGGAGAAAATGGCCAGACCTCTTCCTACAAACCCAACTTTTCTGCCGCCGACTCACGGCGTCCTGAAGTCGCTGCTGGAGAACCCTCTGAAGCTGCCTTTCCATCACGATGAAGGTACGGCTTTAGCGTCGAAACTTGTCCTGCACGTCCACACTGCTTCTTGTTTTCACTCCGCAGACGGACGCGGATTTGACAGATACAACGCAGTGAAGGACACAGGTTCACCAAACCCACCGAGAGTGACTTCTTTCACTATTATACGGTGTTTGTCGAAAAATAAACAACGTAATGTAAATATTAGGGGGAGATATTGAAACCAAAAAGCTGCTTGTCTCTGCTGACTTGACTGACAGGTTGACGGGGAACTAGCTAACAAGCTATGTTAGCATTTTTATCTGAATTAGCGTGATTTGGACTGTGTTATTATTATTGTGACTGCGCTGTTTTTAGCTTGGAGGTGCTGTTAATAACCTTTAAACCCTCTCCTCTTCAATGGGATTTATATTAGCGATACCAGCAGCAGCCGATAGAGGGCGTCGTTTCTGCTGTGAGGCTGCAGCTGCAGTACACCCGCTCACCCACTGTTTGTTTTTGTTGCACTGAGTGTCTTTACATTTGGAGTCCTAGGACATGGAGACCTAGTTTTTAACCATAAAGGGTCAATTCAGGCCAATCTCAACATATTTTTTCCCCCCAAATTAGGTCAAGTTTATTAATGCAGAACGCTTTAACATCGCCTGCATGTTTATAGAAAAAAATAACAACAACAATAATATGTGCAAAAAGCAAGGCAGGACAGACAGCTTGTAAAGTCTGTTTCTAAAATACTAAAAAAAAATTGTAAGATCACATTCTAAACTAAAATAATGAAAGAAAATCATTGCCACAAGTTATGCAAATCATGTACATTTTAAGATTTTTATTTTTTTTTTTAAATTAAATCGTCAATAGAGGATTGTCATTTGATTGATAGAGAATGGGGAACAGTTAAAAGCAGCTGCTCCAAGGATGTATAGCACGCACAGTGTTATGAAACAAAGTGAGTTAAGCTTCATTCGTTTATAGTGATAGATAAAAATGTTGATCCTTTGCGGGAAATCACTTTATTACAGCAACTGCAATCAGTTGAGAACCTACGTCTGACACTGAGCATAAAAGATTTCTGGCAAGAAACCTAATCACGGAAGTACTTGATATACTCAAGACTTTGTTCAAAGTAATAAAGTATTTGTATTGTGTAATGTGCAAAATATACAGTGTAGAAATTTTGCAGCATGCTAATATATAGAAAACTAAATTTAAAAAAAAAAGATATATATATATAATGGGCAAAATAACTTGCACGTATCCAGTGTGCAAAAAAAATACTTGCATATCTAAAATCTCACTACAAGATAAAATAGAAAAAATATCAATTAAAAAATGTGGAATAGTCTAGTAACAGCTTAGATTCTTGGCATCACTCTTGTAAAGTTGATTAAACACATCAATAGACCTTCAGAAATATTAAACTGACATTTCTCTGTATTTTTGTTAACCTGTGATAGAAAATAGCTCCCTTATTATTTCACATTTTGCTAAACTGGTTGAAGTGACCCTTTTAAGATATATATATGAAATTAACTGTGTGCAAATCTTTGCAGGATTTGGCAAAGACAAGGAGAAAGAGAAGAAGCTTGACGATGAGAGCAGCGCCGCCAACCACCCGCAGTCGGCCTTCCTCGGGCCGACCCTGTGGGACAAGACCCTGCCCTATGACGGGGACAACTTTCAGCTGGAATACATGGACCTGGAGGAGTTCCTGTCAGAAAACGGTATCCCAGCCAACACAGCGCAGAGCGACCAGGCCCCACAGACGGCGCAGCCAGCGCAGGCCGCCCCTCTGCAGCAGGCCCCGCCACCCGCCCCGCCCACCCCCTCCGTGGTGGACCTCAGCAGCCGAGCCACCACGTCGGTTCACACAGGCATGGCGCCTCAGACCTGCCTCCACAGCCCCAGCACAGCAGGTAGGAAAGCACATGCAGCGGAGCCTGATGTGCACCTGACAACACACCTGCACGCAGGGGACACGTGGGTTCACACGCTTGTTCACTCCTGCTCGCTGTCAGGGGAGGATCTGAAGACCTATGCTGTTGTTTACAGTCACACACACACCCTCCACATCAGAGTAACCGTCAGCCCTGAGATGCTGAGAAAGAACAAGTTCTGGTGGTTTGTCCCCAATAGGTCCTAAAGGCATCACCTCATTCTGCTGTTTCTCATTTAGCGCCTAATGCTAATCATGTCCAGGCTTGACCACAGGTTAGATACACACTGACATACTTCAGTCCAGTTTTACGGCCCTGATCCAGACCTTGGAGCCCCACAGTAAAGACTGAGCAGGCTTAAGTCCAAGGATGCAGTTTAGTCATTGTCAAAGCTCTGATTGGCACAAAAGGCTGCTGTGTCAACAGACTTCGCCTGTCACGAGTCATGTTGACTTTATTTGTGCTGTTGTTTTAAAGGTGTGTTGAGTTTCACATTTCCTCTGTCAGAGTTGGTATTCATTTTAATTTCCAAGAATTCCCTGCAGGGTTTGGCAGTCACCCATCTAAGCGGCTTGCATTAGTCAGAAATGCGATTCAGAAACTACTACATTCTGCTGAACATTTGTGCTGCAGTGTACACTTAATGAATTTAATTTTTAATGAATTCAAGGCAATTTAAGATGTTGTATCTACATTAAGTCATCAGAACACTTTAAAATTTAAAGAAAGGCACTGCTTGAATCATGTAAATGCTAAGTTGCAGTGTTGTGGCGGTCAAATAGAGCTTTTCATAATAGAAAATCTTATTATTGTAACGAGCTGACATTAAGTAGGCTGTTAGACCGAGGCACTAAACTGTGTAACTCAGTTTGTCAGGCTGCTGCCAGATTCTGTTTGGGTTTTGAATTCACAAGACACCAGAACACTTTAAATCATTTTAAAAAGCCGACCCTCACAACAAACATCAACAGAGGAAATTCTCAGCAGGCAAAATCCAACTGCGGCTCTGGAGACAGTTTATCGTTCCACATCTAAACTTCAAACTAAAGGGCCCCTGGCAGAAGATCTGATGATATGTGACACATAAATAAATAGTGTTTTGGGGAGGGGGTTGCTGTTTTTTTACCTGTAAATGCTGGAGAGGTGGGATTCTGGTGATAAACGACATGCGCTGTTCCACTGAGTCAAGAGTCAGTGAGCGCCTAATGGAGTGTGTTAATGGCCCAGTGAGTCAGACATTTAAATCACATAACCTGTAGTCAGAAAAATGCAGATTAATCTTGTGTGCAGCAGTGTATTGATGCTGGTGGACATCAAAGTCTACAGATGATAGTGGAAGAGTGATTGATTCTTTTCAAAGGACTGATTTGTACCTGAGTGACAGTGACTTCACTCGTCAGTCTGAAATGTGTCCAGTCCTGTTAACACAGTTTTTGATAAAATTGTCCTTAGTTTCCCCCTGAACGAGCCACATGCATGGCGTGTCATAACTGTTATGTTGGAGCTGTGTGTGCCAAATGTTGGTGTGATGTTAGTAGATGTCTACAGCTGGTGAACCTGCACCTCAAACACTTCAGCTCAGTGTGTTGAGTGTCAAAGTTGGAGGAGTATAAAAGAAGAAACCTGTGACAGACTGCAGTGTTACCTGCATGGCACTGACTCTTCGACTCAGTTTCTTTTATTTGCTTTTTTTTTTTTTTTACAAGTCTCCTTTTATTTAAACAGAAACAAAGCAACATATGGCTTTCAATTAGAAGCTATGAGGCACAGTGCAAGCAAGAAAACCGCAATATTCAATTTGACAAAGCATATTTGTTGTGCTTTTACATAGTCTTACATGTTCAGCAAAATAATTAGATTGAAAAATGAATACATGAAAAAAGAAAAACTGTTTTAAAAAAATCACATACGATATAGAAAATGCAGTTGCAATTCAATGCAACATGTCATAAACTGGGATGACAGTAATATAGATTTTTTTTCTTTAATTGATTTTTTTTTCTAAAAGTGGCAGAAAATAACTAACTTTGAAGGTGGTGGCTGTTCATTGCTAACTTTATAGTCTAAGAGAAAAGCATTCAGTTTTATTAGCGGAAATCTGTTAATGTGATGTTTTGCATGACAAAAGTTGTCAAACATAATTGAACTAATTATTCAACTAGTTCCTCATGTAAGTGCGTGACATGATGTTTTCACAAAGTTGCAACATGTCAGCCTGTCGGTGTCCATTCCAGCGAGTACAGGGAGACGTGCAGGTGAAGCTGAGAGAGTTTTAACCTGAGAACAGTGCATCCAGAGATAAACTGATGCTCCAGGGGAGGTGCATCTGTACAGGACAGTTTATTCTAGCCGTAGTGCACATGTGCATACGTACAACTTTGTGTGTGTGTGTGTGTGTGTGGGCCTCTGTGCGTCTTCACATTTACCTCTCACGTGAACGCGGCTGGGGTTTCCTGCAGCGTGCTGGGCCATGTGACGGACACATGCAGGCGCCGTGTGCAGCGCTGAGCTACAAACAGGAGTTTGTCACGGCATGAACCTGCCTGCTTCTCCTCGCTCGTCCCTCCCCCCCCTCCCCCCGACTCTCTTCCTCACCCACTCTCGCTTTCACCCTCCCAACCTCTCTCCCTTTAACACTCTCCACTTCCCGTCCAGTCTTCCTCTCTCTCTCTCTCTCTCCCTCCTTCCCTCGCCAGGCTCGGCTCCGACACAGCCTGGACTGGGAGCCAGGGCACAGGCTGTACCCTACAGAGATCACATGGACTCGGGTGTGCTTTTGTCACGTGCACACAATGTTGTTCCAGCTCAGCAAGTCTGGTCTCGTCTAACCAGCCACACTGCCACCACCACCCACAACAACCACAGCGCATTTGTGGCTGTGCCGCGCTCACAAGGCACAACATTTGTTGTCGCAAGCAGCAAACACACGAAGCGACCTCTGTTCTTTCTGTCCGAGTGACCTGTGCAGACGTAGAGGATCTGCACTGGGGCCAGTTCAGGAGATGGGCCCCTGTATGCTGTTTGCAGCGGCCAAAGAGGAACTCAGATGTAGGAGCGGTCAAAGGGCGTGTTGTGTTGCGTTCCAGTGTGTTAATCAACGAGAGGTTGCTCAGCGAGAAACAAATAACCACATTTGAGGAACTAAGTGTGGAGTTAACGTCAATATATAGAAGTCGTTTAGCGTCATGGAAGGCTGTTGCAGCAAGAGTCAGTCAATACTTATCAAACCTGCACTCAGGTTCTAGCCAGTTTTCTCTGGTCTCCTGCAAACTGAGTCCCCTCATCATGTGTCTCGTGGGCAGGACATGCTGACCCTGCATGAGTGGCCTGGAGGAATCTCGCCTTGTAAGACATGAAAACAAGCCTCAACTCTGCAGTAGTATGCTAATAAACTAATTATAGGACAGGTGTGCAAGCAGATCTCATGAAAGGACCAAATCCAACAGTTTGCTGTGGTTCAAACGTCCTGCTGTAGAAAGCAGCAAATACACATTCTCATGTTTTTAGAAGTCACAAATGGGCACTGTAGTTTTCTGGTAAATACTGCATTTGTTAGGGGACTGCTTTTAGCTGCAGATTAATAAACAGTCTTCAGCAAGTATTTTCAGCAAAGTGCAGTGTGTATGTTCATTGTGGCTGCAACTAATGAATGTTTTTGATTAACTGATTAGTTGTTTGCACCACAACTCAAAGATAAACAGTTTAAGGTCATAATGGAGGAAAGAAACCAGGAAATATTCACATTTAAGAAGCAAGAATAAGAAATGTTTTATTTATTTTTAAAAAAATTACTCAAGCTAATTAATTGAAGTCTAGTGTTTAGAACAAATAAAGAATATTTTAGTCATTCAAGGACAACTATAGAGTCCATTGGCACAGTGGCTACATCAGACGCAGGATACAAAGGTAATACTTATTAGGGGCATACAGTTGGTTTTAGTGTTTGTTTTTGGGTTTTTTTATATCCCAAAAAATAAAAATTAGACAAACACAAGACCTTAAAATCCTGTGTTCTTTTGGTCTTGTGTATAAGTTTCTGAGCTTTTTTTTTTTTAACCCCCAAATGCAACTTTTAGGGGGATTACCTGGCTGTTGTTGGACCCTTGTTGTTGCACCCAGGTCAGAGTTCAGCAGATTTGTCTCTTTACACATTTACGACCAGCAGCTTCTCTTATCGGTGACTGCAGGGTTACCACACACACAGCAACTTAATAACACTCACAGAAAGGCCGATATGATCACGTAGCGTGACACCAACCTGAAACCATAGTACGTGTAAACAGATGGAACGCTCCTACGTCAAATTAAAACAGGTTCTGTGCGTATTCCACACAGCTTTTTGTAGGTCAAGTGTAGTACCTTTCTTTGCTTGTTAATTTTAGGCTTCCTGACTGGGTGGGATGGAACTTTTTTTTTTGTGAATTCCAACTTCCTCTCCCCTGGAATTTGTGGTCCGTTTGGTTGTAGACATTAATGGTCAATGAACAGGCCGCTGTGTTGTAACTCCGTTAATTAGGAGATCAAACTGACGGGTAAAGGTGATTAGGGTGAGGCTGGCTATTTGCAGGTTGGAGTACAGTCCTGACAGACACCAGTTTTAGTTAGTAAGAAGCTTGCTTTCTGGCGGCGTTCGCTTTATGAATGGTGGGAGGTTAAGTTGGGCTATTTGTGTCTGAGCTTAGGGAAGGATTAGCTCTACAGTGTAAATGTGGTGCAGAGGAATCATGTGATTTAGCAAATGGTCAGAAATTGTAGGAGGCAGTCGCAGAAAAGTCATGTTTATAACTAATCTGTCCATTGATTAATTACAGTTAAACTGCACTCAGAACAACACAGCTACATTTAAACTCCTTCAACCAACTGTTTACAGCTCATCAAATCAGATTCTTTCTTGTTTTTTAATTAAACTAATTGAACTAAACTGACTTTACACTTTAGGTTGGCCCTAACAAGCATTGTCATCTCTCAGTATTTACTGACATCCAACAGGCCAAACAGTTATTCAGTCGTGAAAATAATAGTTGGGTTTTTTTGTGGCATTTTTTTCACTTTTTTCTTCTGTTTCAAGTCGAAATGTTGAATTCATTATTCAGAAAATTAACTGGCAGATCATTCAGTGCTGAAAATAATTAGATGCTGCTTTTATTTGCTGATTTTTTTTTCTCACTTTTCCACCGAGGCCAAGTTCTTGTGCAGCTCTTAATACATAAAAACTAGTTTTTGTTAAATGAAAAAAAGGGTTTTATAGGAACACCTGGTTAAATCTGTTGTAGTAGAAGGTTTGATACAAAAATGAATAAAAAGTTATGAGGTTGGAAACATTTGCAACCACATCCATCCCTAGTGCAACATCAACATCTGCTGAAGGCGAATACCTCCCAACAGATGTGTGAGAAAGTTTTTGTATTTGTTATGTTTTTCACCACAGACATTTTTTCCACATTTCCGTTCAGCTTTACGAGGTGATAATTGGCTGTTTTAACAGTCCTGCATAGTTTTTTGTTTTTTTTTCTGCGAACAAACAGTGTTCAGCGTTGGTACTGAAATGTAGTTTTCCGTGGGCTTATCTGAGAAATCTGAGGCGGTGTGGCATTCGCTTGAGGGTTTCATGTCTCTGTGAAGAAGAAAGCCATCGTTTCCTCTGGGTTCGACAGTGTCTCCTGATGCGCAGACAAACATCCGGTTTGTCTCTGATTTTTCTTTTCTTTTTTTTTTGCCTCACTCTCTCTTTGGCAGAGATGTTGAATCTGACGGCCCCTTCTCAAATCTCCACCGCAGCCAAAAGCAGAAAGCGGTGTGAAGGTCACCGGCATTGACTGGCTGTCACAGCAGCCTCACAAGTACAAAAATTTAGGTCATGATGTTTGAGCTGCCAGCAGATCAGTTAATAAAATTGCCTGCTGCTTTCAGTTGTCTTTTAGGCTATTGTGTTGCTCATCGGGATTTTAGTATCGAGCAGGGAGTGCAGGTGTGGTCCGTATCACAAAAGAAATTAGTGCTAATGTAATGAATCATGGAGTAATTGTTCCGTTTAGGGTGGCTAATGAACTGAATCACCCTCCGCTGGTCGGCCCACAGCTTCCAATCAATTAGAGAAGCCATGTACAACACGTACGCAGACCTAAAGGCATGCAGCTGCTCGCCAAGGAGACGGCTTCAGTACAGAATCTGCTGGTTTGACATCAGCTGACCAGAGCTGCTGATGGTTTGAAGATAAGACGATGTGTGAAATAATTTTGTGAGTGTGTTTACCTTGTGTTTTTTAGTGCTTGTGTGGTAGCACCACCTGCTGGTGGAATGATCAGATTTTTATTTTCTAGAAGAGCAGTCGTCTCTCTCGCTTTACATCTGCAACACGCACTCAGCTACATCACCTCAGCCAGTAAATCAAAGCCTGACATTTCCCCAAGGTTCAGCTCTCAGACTTGTAGAGGAAAGACGGAGGCCTCCTGCAGAGAGCTTGAGGAGATGTTCTGATGAGGACTCCTCATTACGTTACATAACAAATTATCTCAAATGGTAGGGCCACTTTAAAGGTGCCATTTCTGCCAAATTCAGAGATACTCAGAGAGTTTGGTTCCTGCTACAATCAGCCTGCTCTCTTTACACCCTATTTTCAAAAAGACAGGATCTTCTGTTTACTTACTGGTAGCTAAGTTTTTATATTTTTGTCTTCCCCCTCAGCCCTGCCCACGTCCCGGGACACCCCCAGCCCCATTGATCCAGAGTCCATTCAGGTGCCCGTGACCTACGATCCCGACCCCGCAGACCTGGCCCTGTCCAGCGTGCCCGGCCAGGAGATGTTCGACCCCAGGAAGCGCAAGTTCTCCGCCGAGGAGCTGAAGCCGCAGCCCATGATCAAAAAAGCCCGCAAGGTCTTCATTCCCGAGGACCTGAAGGTGACCTGCTGCTCCGTCTCTGTCTGTCAGTTTCAGCTGGGGGGGGGTTGGGGGTGTTTGTAGCGATGTGAGATCCGATCTTCTGTTCTGGCCGAGATGCTGGGGTCTGTTGTTACGTAAGAAGGTGAGGGTCTGAGGCAAGTTCAACCCTGAGGGGAGGAAGAACCCTGGACTGAAAGCCAAACAAGCTGCATACTCAAACAGAGAGTTAGTGAAGTGGCTCATCAGCAACTGAGAAACAAAACAAAGCAGATTATTACATAATAACAGAAGGATGCAACTAAAATATCCCTAAATGATCTGGTTGCTGTTATTTACTGGTTTAATACAACTAGATTCCTACTAGCTTCCAACATGTGCTGCAATATTATGCAAATTTATAAAAAGATAGTGCTAGATGATAGATAAGCTTATGAAACATTTACATTAAGATGTAGGGCTGAATATCGTGAGTTTTCATCAGTAATGCTGATGCAATTTTGGTCTCATGAAGTAAAAACTGCAAAAACCTTGTTTTCTTGTAGTAAAAGAAGCAAACTTTTTTCAGATGTTTTTTAAGTGTTGCTTAGACACATGAACTAGTGATCTAAAATTGACAAAACTGTGCCTGTGTCAGCAGCCGTCTGGTCAAAGAACAAGCAAACAACACGAAGAACTGAGACAAAACTGCAGGATTGACAGTTTTTTGAGACTTGTGGTCTGAACACATTCTAGAAACAAGAACAAAAAACAAAGAAGTTCTGAGGTTTGACAGCCCAGTTCTACTAAATTATTTTCAGACCCTTTAAAAGACAAAATAAAAAGAGCAAAAACATCCGGCATATTTCATAAAAAAAAACATAATAAAACAGTAAAATTAAACAACAAAAGAATGACAGCACAACTTTAGTGTTCTGTAATTTGAAAAAGTGTTTATGTTGTAGATACACACGAACATTCAGAAAGGGGAATACTTGAAATGTCTTTAATATCTAACTGTTTTCACAATTAGATTAAAGACAGTAAATACAAAGGCAGTAGAAAGTCTTGCAAGCAGCAGCTTCAGTCGAAAAAATAGCTATTTGTAGTACACGTAGGCACACGGACAGCGTGTTTTGTGGGCTGATATTTTCCAGACAGGTGGTACAGCATGACAGCAACAGGAAAAAAAAAAACAACCCATGTTGTATTTTGATGAGGATTTTTTTTTTTTTTTTCTGTTTTCTTTATTTTCATTCCTATTTTTATAAACTGTCATCTTGGATCTACAACTAAGGATCTTTGGCCTGAAGGTTTTTCTGGAGAAACTACAGAGGGGCTGTGAAAAAGCCCAGGTTTATCCCATTTGTCTGTAGTGGGATCCACCCACCTATTAAGCATTTTTGGGATGGAGTTTGCTCACTAATACCAGGGCTGACAGAATAAATCATAATGATATTGCATAACAATGGGTGTTGAGCTGCAAATCTTGAAGTGAAGCATTGTGATTCTACAGAGAGGCCTCAGATGTAAGGGAACCTGTTTGTTTGGTGCAAAAATCACTTTTATATTTGAAGAAATGCCACTAATGTTGTGACTCATTTTGCATTATCTAATTACTAATCAGTTGTTGTTTTTGTTTTTGCATATTATTCAGCTCTAACTCACACTGATAAAAGTATTTAGCTATGATATTTTAAACTGAGACATTCACTCTCTAGCAGTGAGGATAATCGGGGGGAAAAATTGTAATTATACTGGTGTTTTCTCTGATTCTAACCGGTCTGCTGCTCCCTGCAGGACGATAAGTACTGGGCCCGGCGCAGAAAGAACAACGTGGCAGCCAAGCGGTCACGGGACGCCAGGCGACTGAAGGAGAACCAGATCGCCATCCGGGCCGGCTTCCTGGAGAAGGAGAACGCCGCTCTTCGCATGGAGGTAGCAGACTTGAGGAAGGAGCTGGGCCGCTGCAAGAACATTGTGGCTAAATACGAGGCCCGACATGGGCCCCTGTGAGCCCCGAGTCCTCTCCTCACTCGCCCATTCACCACCACCACCACCACCAAACCCCCGACACCCACTCTACTCCCCAGAACCTCCTTCTCTCAAGTTTGAAGGACAATGTGTCTCTTTTGGTGGCACTGCCCCCTCCTCCTCCTCCTCCTCCCCCTCCACCACCCCGACTTTCTTATCCTCACCCCACCTCCCCCTCCTCCTCCCCCACCAACACACACCTGTATGATTCTGGTATTATAACTGTCATTTCGACTTCTATCATAAGCTTCAATTCATCTGTTCCTTCTCTTACTTTCTGTACACATTGTTTGACTAAATATATATACATATACATAGATAAATATATATATATTTACACACGCATACTTCCCACTTTAATGTACTGTGAGGAGTTATGAGCCAACCAACCAGCTGAGTCCGACCCCCCCCCCCGCTACCTTCCACTTTTGAGAAACGATGCCATGCTGTTTGTTGTTCACTTTCATACCGATTTTATACGTGAGATCAAGACTGAAAACTGTTGTTTCCCTTCTTCGTCTCTCTGTGACGTGTCCAGGAACCTGCTTCTAGCCTCCCCCCAAGGCTTTTGTTTTTAAGCCCTGTAACAGTTTTGTTCTTCTTCGACCCCCTTTCTTGATGTTCATGTCGTATATCGGTTGTCTAACCCTCCTCACGCTCTAACACTACTCTCCTTTAGCCTCTCTAACAGCATCCGCGGTATTCTAGCGTTTAGATAGCACTTAAAAAAACACATTTTTCCTGTGCAATCCTGGCGCAGATTTGCCGTTTTTGAAAAACCTTGTCGTTTTTCTTCATCACTTGGACACTGAGCAATAATTCCTACCCACAGCTAAACCGTTCCTCAGCCCTCGCTGCTCACCCCGCTGGCAGATCGCAACCTAGCGTCGTCCTTCGTTTCCAACATCACATCTTAGCTCACCTCCGTTAACTAAGCTAACCTTAGTTAACCTCTGCACTAATGCGTGTCTCACAATCTGATCTGGTGCAATGTTTCCACTCGCTCAAAATTTCCTCCGCCTCATATTTATCTACCTATTATTTCTCAGATGGAAGATTGTTGTTTTTTATATATATATATATATATATTCTGTTGATATAATTGTTAGTATTAATACTACTCTTGACATTGTTGTTGTTTAGCCTCCTCCTTGTTTTCAGATTTAAGCATGATTTCTTTCACGAAATGAAAAGCTATTCGCAAATCTTTTCTCTCTCTCTCTCTCTCTCTCTTTTTTTTTTTTGCAAAGTTGTTGATAATTCTTTTTGCTTCTGTTAAACTTAGCATGATTAATATGAGTGTTTTTATTTTAGAAATCAATACAGATGTCTGTAGTCTTTCTTTGTAGCTCTATGTTTGCCTTCTTTTTAAAGATGGCTGTATGAATGTAAAAGATGTTGACAAAAAAAAAGTTGGATGGTGTTGTCCAATACTGTGGTTAACCCAATCAATTTGTTTACTGCAGACCAAACGATTCACAACAGAGATGATATATTGGTTACAAGAGATATGTTTATAAAAAACCTATTCTATAAGTTGTTCTTTTTGTACAGTATTTTTCCTATACATTACTGAACTATGTATTTTAAAGGCACAACAGATCCAGAAAATTATTAAAGAATACAAGTATATAACTCAAAGATAAATGCATATAGTGGTATTTTGATATTCTATATTAGGTAGGACGTGGTAGTTTTACAGAGATTTGTGGACACTCAGCAGCACCCAAAAACCGCCTGGGCATTATTGCACTCATTATCATCATTATTCTTACTATGACAACACTCCTGCTTATGTTGGTGCCGCCATTGGGCTCCCATGTCATTCGATTCAAAAGAAGCTGAAAATGCAGTTCAGAAAACAAAGAATGTACAGTTTGGTCTCTTTTAAATGCCCACATCGGAAAGAGCAGACACTGTTGTTTAAACCTCGACCCAACATCTAATAAGTCGTCCAGTGAAAGGCTTTTTTCTTTCTTTCCTCGGTGAAGGCTTTCTGTAACCGTGCAGCTTTATTTGATGGGATGAAGTTACTATGAAGGAAGGGAGATCTATAGCTGGTTACTATTGCTGCTCTGTGTGTGTGATCGGTTCCTTCAGTCAATGCAGTTGTAGTGTGTCCCTGAACCTGAGTGATGGACACTGGGAAGCTTTTTTCTTTTCTATTGTAGTTTTTAGAGAGCATTTCTCTTCAGTTAAGGCTTACAGTGGAGTCCCCCCAAAAGTTAGTCGTGTTTGTAGAGCAGCTTTCCGCCAATCGATCCTGTATGTGACTGATTTGTGTTTTTCAAGTCTGATACGGACATTTCAGATCAAAAGTATGGAAGTCCGAAGATGCCAGTATTAAAATGGAGTAGTTCACAACTATTCGCTTTTTCTGATGTAATAAATATGACGTTACAGTTCGCAGCCTCTAAGCTAGGAAACGGTTAGCCTGGCTCTACTGCAGCTAGCAGCTTCCCCAGTCTTTCCACGAAGCTAAGCTAACCAGCTGATGGTGGTGGCTTCATATTTATCACATTTGCGCGATTTTTAATCTTTGTAAGATTAAAACATAAGATAATTTCTCCACATGTGAAACTTTTAATTTCATCCAGTTGCAGTTTCATTCTGCGTGCAAAAATGATGTAAAAATTCACCAAGATGACTCATATAACACGAATGTATTCCATCCATTTATTTTGTTATAAACATTTTGCTCAAATGAAATGTAAAAGTCAAGTGTAAAAGTAATTATTTGTTCATAGAGTCTCTTTTTTTATTTGTTTGTTTTAGCGGTAATTGTGCATTTTTAAACGTTCAGTGGGGAATTTGAATTTGAGCGACTTCTTTACTTTCGTTATTGGGATCTCTGGACTTCCATATTTTAGTGGCAGCATCTTGAAACAATTTTTGTATTTTCTTCCTTTTAAGGCGAGTAAAACCAGATTTAAAGACGTAACAACCCTAAACTCAGTCAGAAAAGCCGACATCCGCCCAGTAAAACAAAGCTCATACATTCCAGTCTCAGTCCCAGAGTTGCTTGAACGTTATAGATCCGATCCAAAGGTGTGTGCGATTTTAAGAAAAAAAGGATTGTTTTCTAACCACAAACTGTCGTGTTGATACTTTAGCGCTTTAGAGGGGGTTTTCCTTCTACACAGATGAGTGTGAACAGGGTTTGCAGTGAAGAGTGAAGACTGGAATGATGCCTCCCAAATCTCTGGAGCATCTTTTTAAGAAATTATATATATATATATAGGAAAAAGCCAATAATTAATCCATGTGTATCCCAAAATTACCTCACTGTAGAGTGATTTCACTACCTCACCCGGAAATGTTAACCATAATTCTGATTCTATTCCAGTGCCTTGAATACACTGACTGTTCCCCAGTCTCTCAGCAATGTAAAGTCTTCATCACAGCACCGCTCGGATAGGTTCAGATCTGCACTGAAGGGCTTCTTAGTGCATCAAAATCTATATATTATATACACTGACGACTCTTTTTTTTCATTTCTTATTTTGGACATTGCAACAGACTTGTAACCATTGTATTCATGGCAACACCAACAGACTGTTTCAGCGTGTATAAAAGTACAATATAAGGAGTATTCGGTCTTGTTTGTCATGGAATGGATGCATAACATTTATTTGTGCTGTTCAGCCCTCAGCCTCTCTGTCTCTGTAATTTGTAGTGTCTAATAAAATCCCAATTCGTATCTGCTGTGTCGTATTTTTCTGCTCAAAGATTCAGAATCGATTACCAGAGCTGGGTATCAAACCTGTGACCATTGAAATCTGGCATCGAATTCCTGCTCAGACTCTTAGTCCAGCTGGATATTTGTTGGACGATAGTTCCTAATATAAATCAGCTTATTGGAACATTTTTAGTTGTAGTTTTTGGGCAGCTTCTTTGGGAATTTTTTTTGCTTCTGGCTAATTTTGGGATAAAGAAAAGGAACCTGTAGAACACTGGCATGTGGGATGAAATTACTGTTGCTGTGAATAGATAAGTGAGGAGAAGATGATCTACTTTCCAAACGAATGTTAAAACTTTTCAACATTTGAAGCAATATTAGTGTATTATCTTTGATTCATGCAGTTTCAGAATGAAAGAGGAAAGAAGCATCATGCATAAGTTTAAAATTCGAGCTCTGAGATCACTTTTACATTGCAGTCTCAGGCCTCAGTGAGCTGTGGCTTGTTCAGTCATGATTTGGAAGAACAGGTGATGCAGAATTAGCAGCTTTACAAATCCTGTAAATGACTCCTCAACTTGGTCCAAGCTGTCAACAGCCACGGGCTCCTCTGAGTACGAACATTAAAATAATGTCTACAAAGCAGGAGTCAGTTTGTAATGTAATTAGGAAATGGCAGTTAACAGGAACGATGGAGTTCAAGCTGAGGTCTGGAAACAAGAAAACTTTCACAGAGAACTAGTTGCAGGATTGGAACTCCCATTTGAATACAAGATGCCTGCATAAATATGTGAAGTCATGACAATCTCCTGCATCCTCACCACAACAATCAGTAATACAAGTTTGCAAATGAACATCTAAACAAGCCTGAAGCATTTTGGAAATAGGTCCTGTGGACAGATGACGTTAGACTCTTAACTTTTTGACTGCAATGAGCAAAAGATGTTTGGAGAAAAGCTTCTCCGGCCATCATACTTTGGCCTTGTGTTGCAGCCAGTAGCACAGGGAATATTTCACCGGTAGAAAGAAGAATGGATTCAATTAAACATCAAATTCTGGAGGCAAACGCTGAAATGACTGAGTATGAAAAGAGGACTGGTTGCACAACAAGATAACGATCCTGAATACACTTTAAGATCCACAACGGACTACCTCTGGAGCCGCAAGCTCACGGCCTTGACAGTCCACCAACCAAAACATCATTGGGAAAAAAAAAAGACCTCCAAAGAGCAGTGCATTCAACAGAGCCCAGAAATCACTGAGAAGTTAAAGTATGGAAGATTAGATGGAATGGCACAAACAGAACTGAAAGACTCTTAGCTGCTACAAAAGGTGTGTGTCCAAACTTTTGCTTCTGGACTTTTTCCTATTCAGTCATTTTGAAACTAAAAGGGGTGGGAAAAAATCAAGTTATATTGTATGGTATATCTGTATACCTTTGGGGAATCAGTTCATCTTTTATTTACTTTTCCATTAACAGGAACAGAGGTCCTAAAACTGTTACACACCACCGTATGTCCAGCAGTGATTATCAAGCACCAGATCTTGGCATTGAATGTTTGGTTAAATGTCTGTATATTAACATATCACACATTTACTTATTTAAATTAATTGGGCAACTTTGGAGAATTAAAGATGTTCTCAATTTGCAAAGTGCAGTTGCTTTGCAGTAAAAACAATTAATGTGTTTGGAATGTTTAACCCTATTCAGGACTTTCATGTTGCCAGACGTAGAAGGTCTTTCGGGGTCCATTGGACCCCAAGAAAGAATATGCCCAAAATATTTGTGGGTATTCATTATAGACTTTTATTCTCTGTTAAATACATTTTCTGATAAGTTGATGTATTTTTGGTTTCAAGTGCATGACAAATGTTCCTCTTTTTAATATTTAAAAAAAATCTTCAGAAATTAAAAAACATTACCTGTCACCTAAACCAAATGGCCTGGGGTCCAAAAGACCCCAAAAGTCCTGAATAGGGTTAAATTACACATGGACAAGTGTAGTAGTGTTACGGCCCCAGAGGCTCTGTCTTCTCTCACTCTTATCTTGCAGGTTTCTGGCTGGGCGGAGCCTCCAATCTGCTAACCTGGTGCACCTGGCCAATCTCACTGACTATATAAGCCGGCCTGCTGTGCCAGGTCGCTCTCTTCTCCCTTACCCAGCCAGCCATGCTCCTGTGTTTGTCTCTTTTTGTTTGTTTCATGCTGACAACATGCACCACACATCAAACCCTGCACTCAGACACCCTCGCATACCACTGACGCTCACAATCACACCTCACGATTCTACTTTGTTTCAATAAATAGCCTTATGTTACAGCTGAATCCACCTGTGTGTTTCCTCCTTTGTTGCGGCCTAAGAGTCAGTCGTAACAGTAGTTACAGCTGACTATTGGAGCTCTTGGATGTAGGCACAGATATGTTTCTTGCACTGATTTTCAAACATGACATCGAATGCTTGGCTCAGATTTTGATATTTCCAGATTTAAAAGAATTATGATCAACTTTGTGGAGCCAAACGTTTTGCTGGGCTGCCTTGTGTGAAGAAAAGTATGCCTTTAAATTAGTTGTCTTTAGTTTTTTAAAAGGATTCTATTGGTATCTGTGCTAAAATTATCATATTTTAAGTGTCAGAACATTTGCGTTTGGAAGTTTACAAACCAGCAAACAGGGGTCTGGAAACGATTGAGTAGCAAAAGATGTCACTGAATTTCTTTCTACATCTACTTTTTGAATATAGAGATAATGACGTAATAGCTTCTGATTGCTTGTTTGAAAAACTGGTTCTAAAGAGAAAATACTTTAAAATTTAGGCTTAATATTGACTGGTATCGAACAACACTTGAAAACCAAGCAAAATATATTTGCAGCACAAATTAAAATACTGGCATGGAGAATTCAGATCTATGTTGTTGATATAAGTAGCAGGTATGCATTTTTTTAGGCTTCTTTACCTTTAAAGAATAAAATGACACAACTGTAGAATGTCTCCTAATTCTATCATGTCCAGCCTTGTTCTAAATCCAGGATGAAACTGTGCTTAAATGAAGATTCTTGTTTCTTTTGTTGGTCTAATGAGAGCTTGATTTCCCATTGAAACAGACAGATGGTCAGCACAACCTGTATTTAACAGGAAACCTGCGAGAGCTCATTAGGAATGAGAATCTTGTCTGGAGGCACAGACGTGGGGTATTATCATTTTTTAATAGTCACATTAGAAAGATGATATTCAGTATAATGGAGGAGCATTCATGTTTATGCAGCACCATTAACAGCCAATGGAACAGACGAGAAGCAGTTGTTTGTTTTTTTTTATCCCTGCAAAGGCCAGGATCATGTAATCAACAGAAAAAAAAAAGAACAAAATGTACAAACATTACAAAACAGAGTGGTTAAGGAAATCATTTCAAGAAGAGCCACAATTAAAAAATATGCATCATTCAGCTCCGTACATCGCTGACAGGAAAGCAACAGAAAGGTATCATTTATGAAGAAGCAGGTTTACAAAACCGACAGCATGAGACAAAAACATGAACGTGAGGCTTTTCCACCGATCAGACCCACCTCAGAATACAGACAGGAAACACTGTTCGTCCTAAAGGTGCAAATCAAAAACAGAGATCAGTAGAAATGGAATACTGGACTACAGTACAAAGGTCGTGCATGCGTACACACACCCTACAGCACACTGTTCACATTACAAATACAGTGGAATTAAATTCTGTCTCGTCACACTGCCTGAACTTGCCTGAAATTCTCTCATTTGGCTCAAGTCGCTGTCACAATCTGAAATGTTGTCGTCCTTACAGCTGCCCACCAGCAGGGGGCGCTGAGTGCTTACAGGAGAAAACGTGGTTCTCTGAAAACTGAGGACTGTAATCTGGTTACAGAAACGAAGCATGCACTGGACAAAAAAAAAAGTGCAAAAAGTGTAAAGATTGAAGAAAGAAACAGAGAAAACAGACTTCCATAAAGAGCCTTTTGGTTACGAACCGAGATAAAACTACACCAGCAGAGCACAAGTCCGTGTCAGTTCCTGATAAGAGTATCAAACTGCAGCGTTTTTGGTACAAAGTCTTGAAAGTTGGCATCAAATGTGTGGTTAGATTAATAAACTACCTGTTCTTTGATTAGTTAGTTCCTGATTTTAACCAAATTTTGCCATTTTAAGCTATGTCACTTTGGCAAATTTCTTGCACAGGTGCTTGTGTTTGGAAAGTATTACCTTTGGTTTCTTTTGGTAAACAAAAGAAAATGAAATTCAGCATTTATATCAACACTAGTATCTGAAAATCTTCATTTGATAAAAGCTACATTTGAGAGGTGATTTTTAGCACCTCATTCGATATCCTCCCTGCTCAAATCATCACCTGAACCAGATCAATCTCTGGGTTTTGACACTCAAAAGACCCTTAATGTGGAATGTTACTCACTTCAAGTGATACAAAAGACTGCTATCAAATTTCTCAAATAGTCATTCAAATACTCACGAATGTGCCAAGGTTCATACCAAGTGTAAAAGGTCAAAATTCCCTCCCTCACGGTCAAAGATTTCTTATGGTTACAAAACAGCTTTGAAAGTAGCTTTTGTTCATCGGGGGGACACTGAAAAATCTGTTCCCCTCCACGTTAGAAAACAGTAAACAATTCATGGTCATTATTTTCGTAAACTTTTTATGGCTGTCGCTGCAGCTTCAGTGGGCAGTTGTTGAGGGAGTCGGTGTGCAGGAGCCTCTGCTCAGAGGGGAAAGGTGGACCGACGGCCGGCCTTGGTCACGAGTCGAGGAGGGTGTCGGCGCTGGGAACCTTGTAGAGGTATTTCCAGATGGCGTAGTAGTGCACGGCCGCAGCCAGCGCCACAAACACGTGCCAGATGGCGTGGGCGAAGGGGATGACGCCGTCGCTCTTGAAAAAGAACACACCGAGGCAGTAGATGAGTCCTCCACAGGCCAGCTCGTGAAGCCCCTCGGTGTTGCTCTGCAAAAAACAAACAGACAAGAAAATACTTTTATTTGTACAAAAGACGCTCATCAATCTACTGACTGATTACGTAGAGTGGTCACGTAGAAAGAAAGTAACTTCAAAATGCCAGCATGCAAACCAGAAAAAAGCGCATTTTTAAAAGTGTTACACAGCAGAAACTGAGTGTCTGATAATGAGTTGAAAATAAACTCTGGTGATTGGACAACATTTAGGAAATAAACTGTATTTTATGTAAACAAAATGCCAAACAAGTACAGTGTTAACATCAAACCATGTCGTTTACAATGAAGAGTATGTTTTCTTTACCAAAGAGCCATCCTAAATATGTTTCACATTTAGCACCATAATGTGCTGCAAATACACATTTCAGACGCGTGCATCATTTCGTGATCTGGACCACAATACATTCATGACTAAAACTGATTTCAAACTAATCCTTATGTTGCTGTGAGCTCTGTAAAAACCCAGTGAAGACGTGTTCAGCAAGAAGAGGAAGTAACACTGTGAAGGGATGTTTCAGGACATAAAATAAACGTGACTGTGAATGCGTGAATAAATAGCGTTACCATTGACGTCACGACTGATGCAGGAAAAAATCCCATCGTCAAATAGAAGGCCAGCTCAACAAGTTTATACCTGGGGAGACAAATAAGTACAGCGTGTTCACAAAGTCAGTGTGACCAAAATTCAAAGACAATTTCAAGCAAGGCAAGGAGAAAGTAAAATCTTTATACTACTTTCACAAAATATCCCTCGTAAAGTTGGACCTATAAAAGTAAAAGAAAAACTAATATAAATAGTGATTCTGAGAATAATTTGGAGGTAAATTCCTCAGTTGCAGCTTCACACTGACTGTCATTAACAAATATGTTCTGCAAACCAACTTAGTTTATTTTATCAAACAGATAAGGTTTGCAGATATTTGGTTGATTTGACTTGTTATGCAAGTATTTAGAGATCAACAATAAGGAAAAGTTTTAACCTTGGCAATTCAACAGGACACTGGCAGCCAAGCCAATGTTGTGGAAACCTGCTCAGGTGTTAGCAGACCATTATTGTGACTGAACACAGACAATGAAACGGAGCACAGATGCATCTCGTCTAACCTGCCCTGAAACTTGCACAAATACAGGAGATCAAAACAGATCTGTTGAACACAAAGCAGTTAACAGAGACGGCAGAGAAAGGATGAAGAGAGTCAAATCACCGATTGAACTGATTTCCAAGCTGATTCGTAACACTGATGCGAGTAGAGTTCTTTGGGTATTTTCTGAGTCTCTGAAACTCACAACCTGTGAGATTTGCAACAAGTTTCAAAACTCAAAAATGGCTGCATAAAGCAAGAATATTTAAAGAATGTGAAGATAAAATTTCATGCAGTCACATTCATGTGAGTGTGTGATGATCATCCGTCCCTGTGGTCGGCACGGGTAGCTACTGCACTCACCACTGTGGTTGAAAGCAGAGCTTGGTCTCTAACTGCATGACAAATGGAACAATCCATTTACCTGCTACTGTGTTGGAGCTTGCACTAGCATTTAATTATATGCTGGTGTAATATATTTTTATGATATCATAATTACATGCTGGTGAACTGTATTTTTTTATTACATTCTAATTACATGCTGTTGCAGAACACATGCTGGTGTGACAAACCAGAAATACAAGTCAAACAGTTAATGCAAAGCCCCGACACAAAGGTATGCATGAGAACATGTATGTGTTCCTGTATGATACACATTTGGAAGGAGGCTGAAAAAGCTGATTGTAATCATCTGTATAATGTGGACTTTACTGCTTAGTTTTTCCTCTCCTTTTTTTTCCTTTTCCCCCTTTGGTTATTTTGTTTTAGGTCTGCAACTAACTGTTTTTCTACTCTAGATGAGTAAAGCTTTTTGGTTTGATCTATAAAATGTAAGCAATAATTAACCAACCTGAATCTGAATTTCTGACAGTTTCTCTATAATCAGTCATTTTATTGTGATTTTATTTGCTAATAAATAAAACATCTACAAAAGCAAACATCTGATTGGATTGTCGAATGAGGAATTTTAGAAATGGGTGCTGCACAGTCACCAGTTTGTCTAGATTGTAATATTTCAGCTCCATGTGCAATATTATATTTGCCAGTAATACTTTGCACTTATTTGAACTTTTTTACGATTGTGGTAATGCATCACTGTTATATCCGGTTGCTTTTTTAAACTTTTTGGCACTGCATTTATTCTAATGTTGTGTATTTTCTTCTGGCATAACAATCTACCCTGGGATTACTAAAGTTGCATCTTATATTTAATGGTAAGTTTTTAAATTTGAAAAGCATCACATACATGGACAAACACTTGGTGAGCAAAGTGGGACATGAACTCACTTTTCATGATAGTTGAAGACATATATGGTTCCAGCAGCAGCCATGAGCCACACAAACCAGCGCATGTGTGCTGCCAGAGGGCCCAGCTCACGCAGGTTCAACCTGACGACAGCGGAGGGAAAATATAATGGCATTAGCATCCAAATTAGGCTTCCACCTATGACACCGGTCCCAGCAGGAGTATTCTGTCCTCTGCGTGACACTCACCAAGGTGTGTAGGAGGCAGCAATGAAGAAATAGATAACCACTCTGTCACACATATGAAAGCAGTGTTCCACAGACCTGAGCGAGACAAGAAACAAAAAGTCGGTCATGGCTTTTTGAACTCGATGTCAATGATGCAAAGTAGAAACATTATTTGCATATTCACACAAAGAAAATCCCCCGTCTGGTTCACAGGAGGTGATATTGTGTTTCCACAGAGCAGCAAGTTAATGGAAATTATACTCTGCTCAGGCAAAACAGGCTTCCACAAACACACGCTCAGTAGCAGCGCTTAAGAGGCATCTCACCACCTACGTAATAAAACATAGGAGAAGTAGATTTCGGCTTTTAAAATAGTATTACAGCACAGTGACTAATTGGAAGGAAAGGAATCATCACCAAACTTATTACCCATATTAGGCTATTATTTCCACAGAAAATGAAATATTTTAACTTGTCATAAAAAGGAAATTAAGTCAATAGCAAAGAGCTCGTACAACACGTCTGGTCATTCATATTGTTTTCTTTTACTTATTTTTAATCATCTTTCTATATCTGCTTATGTTTTTCTTTTGTTTTTTTACATTTTTATGCTGAGAAAATATGTCTTTTGAAAAAGTACAAATGTAGGAACACCTAACATAATTCACAGCCCCAGATGTTAGACGTTACCAAAAAGATGTGCCTCCAGCAACTACAGACAAAACAGGCAGCTGAGTACTTTCCCAGAAGCAAGTGGTAGAGCTGATATATGTCGTTTATATCCTCAAATAGTCAGAATCTATCTGTTGTACAAGAGCAACAGAAAAGGTTTGGCATAAAGTGTGAACCAAATAACGGCATGCCAGGGCGAAAGCCAGAAAAGACACAGTGAACAAATCTTGTCAGCAGTGGAGTATCAGTATCTGAAACAGAGATACTGATTCTACTTTACTATCTGAAATTAGACACCAGCTATGCTACACACTTCTGCTCTTACGCTAAATATTACAAAAGGTATAGCTGCTTAAATTTGTCCCATTTTACCTTTATCTAACTTGTCAAGTCTGCAGCCTCGTGAATATATATGTGAAAGGATGTTGTGTGTGTGTATATAGTTTTATGGCAGCTTTCACAGGAGCATTTCTCTCTTTGTCCTCTGCCAAGGTATTTGTCATCACTTTAGTCCTTCTCACCTCATGTGGCTCTTCTTCCAGGTGATTATATGAAACACAGTGGAGACCAGGAAGAGGGCACACAGCCCCATGCCGTACACCCAGGCTGTGATCCTCTCCCAGCGGTTGTCCGACAGGCGGTGCAGCAACGTCATGCCCACGATAGCCGGCACAATGAGGAGCTGCAGAGAGAAGACGATATCACAAAACCATTAAAACACCGCGCAGATCAGCACCTACATATATATATTGTTACTGGGATTGATTTTAACCTCGGAGCAGATTAAATGTCTCTCCATGAGAGATTACGTCCTCCACATTAAGAAATAAACAGTTCTAAAACACTCACGGCATGAGTGTAGCAGTTTGCAGCATGCTCATAGCAGGTGGGCTGGTAGCGGCAGTTAGCAGAGGCCCGTCTGTTCATAAACCTGAAACACACAGGAATAAACAAAACAAAACATGAACAACTATGGCAGGCTGATTCAGCACCCCGTAGATTCTCACCAGCAAAACCATTCACATTCTGCTGAAAACATTGACTAAAGGGTGCAAAGTAGCTTATAATGTTCACAACAAAGAAGAAACAAAAGAGAGCCGGTGTCACATATTGAAGTAAATTAACTGCAAACTGATTCTGAATTAAGATCAAAAACACAATGACAGTAACGTGCAGATTTCAGTCTAGTTGACATTATGATTTGAGCAAATAATTCATATCTTTAGAATAATCTTAAAAGATAAGATTACACAGGTTTACATTGTCAAACAATGACAAAAACATTGCAATAGTACAAATAGAGATCCTTATACCACATGGTAGATTTAGGAGTGAAAGTACATTATGTCGTTTTTCTTACTTTTATTTTGTCTGTAAAATGTTAGATAATGGTAGTCGTAAAATCCCAGAGCCCAAACTAATGCTTCCTGATTCGTGCTTTGGTCTATTAACAGTTTTAAATATTAAAATTGAAAGAAATAAGACAACATCACAAATCTTCACATCTAAGTCTCCCTTTTCTTATTGAATAACTTAAACTGTAATGATTATTACAACTACAGTGAGTAATTTCTTGTCATGGAGTTGTATATTAATCAGCCACACCCTAAATAAACTACTAATTTTTCAGATTCCAAAATTACGAAGTGCTTGACATTGAAGTTTCTTTAGCTCACAGTGCAGCTACAGACAACAACTGTTACTCCACCTGACAGAGAAAAAAACAGGTTTATGGGAAACTAACAACCACTGATTGCTTTAAGATACTATCCGATATCATGAGGGACATTAAAATGACCCACTTACGTCTTAAATCTTTGCACGATAAAAAAAAAAGAAAGAAAGAAAAACACAATTTTTCCATTTACATTTTACCTACCTCTGAAAGCTGTTCACTCTCTTCATTTCAGTGCCTTTTTTTTTACCACAGGGAGCAAATTAATACAAAAAATAAAATCGGCAAACGACAGCAAACAAAGAAGCTGCAAAGCCCTGCTTTACAAAGATAGGAAGAAAACAATAAAGTGTCCTGACAAGCCAAAAGAAAACGGAAGGCCTAGCATTAGCTACTCGGCTAACGTTCTGCTACTCATAAGCTAACTTTCACTACAGCTACAAGGCACCGGCAACATTAATACTCCCACTACAAAGGCACCATTTTAGTCTTTTTCTTAATACCATTCTGTAACGAATACTGACTCACTGCCTCGTCTTTAAGCTACTAATATCCATAAGCACTCAGCGGCAGCCAGGACGAACCGAAAAGACCCCCGCAAGCAAGCAACCCCGCCGGTCAATGACAAGCAGCTTCCCCGATGATCCGCTCAACAACAAATATGATTTCTTTTGGAGCCCAACAGCCCAACCAGTGGTGAGATGTTGAGTGGCAGCGGCGACAGCCAATGAGCGGCGACTCCACCGGCATGCCGGCCAATCAGTTGTTAGGTGGGCGGTGTCTCTTAGAAGCGGGTGACAGTCACACTCTGGGTTTGTAAATAATAAAGACTGAGATTGTTGGAGCTAATAGGAAACAAACTAATAAACATGCAAATAAAAACTTGAAACACTTCTTTTACTTTTTTAAATAACTTTTTTCTCTTTTTGTGCATTAGTTGTGATTTCTATGTGCTGTAATGTTGTGCCAGTGATTGGATTAGCATGCTTTGTGCTTATTTAAAGTTATGTCATATGTATTACTTTGCAAAATGTGACAAGGTGAGAAGACAAAAGCAATAATATATAACAAATCAAAAGGTAAATAAATTACAGTGTTCTTACAGATGTTTTGATTAATGATTAGATTTCATTTAAACATTTGGAGGCCTTTTTTTAATGTTCATCAATATATGCTGAACATTACTTTATATATGACAAGGAAAACACTAAATATAGAAAATAAAGAATATAATGCAGAATTAATAAAATGCTTTCAAATATTCATTCTCCTGTCAATCAGATTTTCTTATTTAATGTTACACCTGCTGATTCAACACACATATAGGCCCGATTTACTCCTGTGTCTTCCTTTGTTTCTTTGGTAATCTCCTTAAACATGAAACATTTTCATGTCATTTTGATTCATTTACAAACCCTTAGACTTCAACGGGTCTTGTGTGTTTCAGGAAGATATTTTCAAAGTGTCAAAACAAAAATCTACACCTATGCTAATCTTAATAGATCAGGCATTAATAAGGACATTGTGGGGTTTGTTGTTTTTGAAAACATCTCTGTCTGGTGTTCACCCTCCTTCATAATTTATTTTAGCCCTTTAGTTCATTAGGGAGGCTGCCCGAGGAATTGTTTGACCTGTGACCTCCAAAAGAAGATCTGTACAGCATGTTAATAGCATTTTGACATGAAAAATTAAAGGATTCTGAGAAATCAAGAAATGTATGACCCTTCATGACTTTCTTAACATTTGTAGCTGCAAACAAATGTCTTATTAAAGTTAGTCATTCATGAGCCTTTGTGAAAGATGGAAAAAATGATTTTTAAACATGGTCACCAAGAATAATAGACTATTAACTAATCTATAAAGCACTGAAAAAACAGAACGTTTAATTTGTTTATATGTCGTTACTGACTATTTGCAAAATTGTGGCTAAAAGCTTAAATTTGAATCAGACGGTTTGCGATCACTGAAATTCTGATTCTTTTTGCTATGTTTTGTCAGTTTGTGTACATACAGCAGCCTGCTGTGCGTTCTGCTAAACAAAACATGTTTTTGTCAAACACGTTATGTAAGAAGTTCCGATGGGAGATGCAACACAGACCACACTGATTGTGTCAACAGCATGCAATCACCATGAAGTGTTGGTATGTGATGCTTTAACTCAGCTCCAGCTTATCAGACGCACAGCGCAACACCAGAGATGGCCTCCTGCAAGTTTCATTTCACACACAAAGGAGATGATGGGGATAATTCTTGTGGTACAGCTGGTGTTGGACAACAATCTGAGTGTGATGCTGCAGCAGACAAAGCGCCACAGACAGACAGTGAACCGCACACGCACACAGTGTCACGCTGCAACAGCCCAGTTACATAATAGCACCGCAACTTGATCAGTGCCTCTTAGATATAACAGTGTTTATGTAAGACCAAAGACCAATCCTCAGGCTTAATGAAGTTCACGCTCTATATTCCCTATTAGAAAAACTGTTTTCTGTGAACAAATGTTCGCTTCTTTCAGCAGTTGAACATTTTTCAGCAGACACAGAGGAGTTGAGTTTACTGTACATTAGAAAGGCTATACTGGCCTGTTAAATGAAGGTATCTGGGCCTTTGTGGTGGCACCTACTGTACCAGCAAGAGCAGAGAATGGGATTGATCCAGAAAAAGAGAAAGAGCTCATTGTCTGTGTTAAAAGAAGGACATTAGCACAGACAACGGGACAATGCCAGAGGCCATATGTCAGGGGCACAGTGACTCCTTGTTTCTGGCTTCAGTCTGCTGTTTCCCCATACTGTTTCGCTAACACCTCTGATGTGACACACACCTGAGAGCAGCAGGTTGGCAGCACGTCACAGCAGCTAAGGATGACTCCCCGTCCTGCTCGTAAACAATCCGAGTCTGTGTCTGACTCACACCGACTGTCCTTTCAGTTGGGTGGTGGATGGAGTTTCCCAGGTATTTAACCCGCACGCTCACATCACAGGAGCAGCTGTATCAGTTTACACCCACACCTGTCACTTTACGTGTTGTATGTTTGAGAGTAGTCATTGGATTTAAAGCAGCACATCACTGGCTCCAAGAAGGAAATGTCTTACCATCTACTCCCTAAATGCTGCTCTACCTTCTGTGACATCATGCAAATTTGTATTATTTCCTAATTTCAACAAAATACCCAAACGCCAATAACTACATTTCTTTCTTTTACACATCTAGCTGTGAGGAAGCAACATTACCAGATATTTGGAGTCCTGTTTTTGATGACCTGATAGTCCAGCCCAACAATAATCCAGCATTCACTCTTTTAGCTCTGTTTTTGGTCTCCACCAACTCCTAACAGAAATATGTGGCTCTTCACTTGATAATCGCTCCACTATACTAGTCTCTAAATGTGTCTCTGCTCTTTGGTGTTGGCATTTTATTGTTTAGGGGTTTTTTTGTTTTTTTTTCTGAAAACAGCTGTTTGGTACAAAAGCAGAGAACCAACTCTGTCCTTGTTGGCAGTATCAGCTCCATAATCAAGTCAACTTTTAGCAGGTTTTACATACAAGTAGCTTTTCAAAGTTCTTCCTATTTATGGTAGAAATGCCAGGAACATTGTCAAGAACCAGATTGGTTCTCTGTTGGTTGACAAACCCTGTGTGAGACAGGTGAGAATGAACCAAACCAAACCAAAAACAGTAACGATTTAGAGCAGGTAGCTAAACTAACCTCATATAAAGCTCAGTGAAGCTGAAAGGAACTGCAGACTGAGATGATGGTTTTCTGAGGGGTTCAAAAAAAAGGCACAGATTACAGCTCATTATACATCCATGAACCTCCAACACAGATGTTTTCACTTGTTTTACCTGATTAGACTCTTCTCATGCACAGCCTCAACTACTAATTTAATCAGAAAGCTTTTTTTCTTTCTTTCTTTTTTTAAATACAGATGGTTAGAAGAGTCTATGATGGTTCTAACCTTCAGAATTGGGGAAAGTGTTGACAAGCAGCTCTTTAGATTTGTAAAAGAGCACCTAGTATTTATTTTAGTAAAATTAGATGATCCAGACTGGGGGCTTGGACAACTCTATCTCCTATAAATGGTGTTTACATATATCATACATGGCTATTAAACAGCAATTAAATTATGTTAAGTTGTGTATCTGTACATACTGAGTTTAAATGGTTTACCGATATGTCAAAGTCAGCCTGCCAAAGTCTGTCACATTATATTGACCATGTACTGTAGTTTTAAACCTTCACGCGACTAATGCGAGTTGCCTAATGACGTAAATGTTGCCATGGTGATGGCGGCACGCATAGACGCAGCGGCCCCATCAGGAGACAATGAAAGTGAACGTTTTGAGTGTCTTGTCTATCCCAGACGTTCATTCCACAAAACTTGTGGCCGGGACACTTTGCTGGGCATCAGGACAGTGAACAGTGCTGGAATTGCAGTGATTGGTTGTGATGTGGACCGACTGCACAAACACGGAGTCTGATCGGAGACTACGCTGGCAGTTACCCGAGAGAGAAGGAAGCACAAACGGTGTGGACATAAACAAAGAGGGGGAGGAGAGTCGGGATCCATGCTAGGAAATAGGCTAACCCCTCCAGACCAGCAGGACTGTCCTCCTACTCTCCAATGTCTGCGCCCTCTACAACAAACTGGACGAGCTATGTTTGCTGGGAGAAGCCTGTGGAGAGTGGAAAGACTGCTGTGTGTTTGCTTTGACAGAAACATGGCTCCATGACAACATCCCAGACGGACATACAGCTGGAGGGGACGGCATTTTTCCGGGCGGACAGACAGACAGCTAGCTCTGGGCAGCATCTGCGGCTTCACCATTGTCACACCATCGTGTGTGTCTTTGTGTCCCTGAAGACCTACCAGGACCTGAAGAGGTTCGCCATGTTCAGTGTGATGGCGGTGCGCGTTGACACAGCAGCCCCTTCAGGAGACAGCGAGAGTGAACGTTTAGTGTCTTATCCCAGACGTTCATTCCGCAAAACTTACCAATTAAATGATCCTGAAGAAACGCTCTCTCATTTTGCCTGTACTACTGTGTATGTACAGCAAAATGTCAATAAACTTGATTTGATTTGATCTGAAATGCTTGCCAGTCATAAATAAGGGAATCTCGGTCATCTCTTCTATCCATTCTATGTAGACTTCAGCGTCTGGTATTTTTCATGGACCTTATTGGACCTTGTCTTCTGCATCCATTCCACCAGTTCCTCTTAGTCCACATCCCTGCTTTTCTAATCACCTCCAATCCCTCCACACCTGTTCCTCGCTCCCTCAGCAGGCCACAGTGCATAAACACCAGCCACCTTCCAACTGCTTCTTTGAACCTGGCAGTGCTGCTCAGCTCCAGTAGCAGTCCAGCCTTTTGTTTTCTGCCGGTTGGTGGCGCATGGCGTGGTATTATTTGAATTTAGCTGCCTGTTCAAGCTGTTTTTAAGGCATAAGTTTGTTATGAGTAAAGCCCCATAAGTCAACCTTCAGTTCTTGATCTGAGGGTCTCAAATGAATCAGCTGCAGCTACATACAAAAAAGCAACTGACCAGTGGTAGCAGAATGCAGTTGGGAGATAAAGCATGGGAAATGTTGAATTTTACATCAACAGAAAAAAAAAAAAACAACAGAAAAATGAATACTGAAAAGCACTAGGCCT